GTAAAATACTTACCCATTTTCTATTTTTAATCTTTAAAATAATTTTTAATTTCGGTGCCTAAAACTTACTTTTTAATTACTATGATTAAAATGAGATGTGTGTTACCGCACTAATCAAGTATTATGCACGCACTAATCGAATACTGGTTATAAACAAATTTAAGCGCACTAAACGAAAACGCATTAATCGAGGGATCCCTGTACTGGCAAAATACCAATTGAATATGGATACTTCAAATTTAATTACAAATTCAATTTATTAACTTATTTCACATAATCTGTTTTAGTATTTCCATTATTCGTAGGTTGTGAAATTTCCAAAATTTTGCTGTGATATGCTATTTTGAATAAACACTAAAAATTACTTACTTTCATCTTAGAATTTCAATTATTATTGATAAGAATGTTCCATTTTATATATCCAACAAGTTGCAATTTGTTTATTCATTAAAATATGTCTTTTGATACTTCATTTTACTGACTGAAACAGTCACCAATTTGGTTATAAATCATAAAAAATATGGCAAACTAACTAACAAAGGTATTTCTGTGACCTTGAAACTCACCTTTCAAAATTCTTCATTGAAATCAACTTATATCTAATAAATATAGTTTTTCAACACATGTCAAGTTCTTTTAATTATGTGTGTTATTTCAATACAATGAACTTAATAATATAGTCCAATAATAAATGATTTGAATCATCCATAGAGTCTGCCAAACTAAACCTCACTGATGTTCTGTCATAGAAAAAAATATGTGTAGCTTTTAAAAAGACAAAATTGAATGTATAATCATTTAAAAAAACTTTACATCAGGATTGTAAATAGCTTTATGTTGACAAACCAAAAAATATTGCTAAAATCACTTTATCTACCTTATATTGACATAGATAAATAGAATTTCTTTTATACAACTGTTTTTAACCTCTGGCTCCTGCTATTTTCAAAACTGAGCTTTCTACACAATTGATCAGACTACATGCTGTGGCATTTTATAAAAGAGCATCATCTCATAATTGCAAATTATTGTACTAAAAATAAAGAGAACAGAACTACAAAGTTAAATACTAAAAGGAACAAGGTACTACATACTTTTCAAACCTGGCACGACTACAGAGGTGGAAACAAAACCCAGGACGCACACGACCAGCTCGACCACGACGTTGTTCAAGGTTAGTTTTTGATGCCCATACAGTGGCATAATTGGTCATATTGTTGTGTGACGTAAACAACTTCATTTTAGCTCTGAAGAAATATAATAAATATATGTCTGTTAAAGGAATCACACAAATTTCTTATACCATTCTTTTTAGCAATTCAGATACCATTCAGTCTTTACAACATTTTACTTTACCTTAAATAAAATTATCCAATTTAATAAACTAACATTCAACATTTTCTTTTAGAATACCATGAAATTATTGACAAAATAAATTTGCAACCTGAACTTTGCCAAAATAAATTTGTAACTTGAACTTTCCACCATAACAGTAGCTTAAAAAAGGGTTAATATTCTACTTCTTGGTCTACAAATTTACATTATCTAGGAATTTTGGAACCTTCTAAATGTATCTTGTGTAATTCTAAAGAAAAACATTTTATTTCATAAAATAAATCCATCATTTCTTCGTTTCTCTGTCACTTATAGATTTTCATATAACTAGAAACAAATCATAGAGAACAGCCATCTTGCCCTCAAGAGCAATTGGTTAAGCTAATAAGTTAAAATTCATATAAATTCATATTCCTGTATTTAAGATTAATTTCCCTGGTGCTCCTCCAAACTGAATTTAAAAAATACATTAATTAAAAAAATTGATTTAATATTATAATACAATAACAGCTTAAAATTCTGATATTTTTTTTAATGATTTACAGTTTTGTTTTTAATAACACTTTGAACATTCAAGTTTTGTTTATTTTCAGAGATTATTATGAAACAGGTACAATGCAGAGGTAAGATAAAGGTTTATACTTGCACTTCAAGAAACATAACAAGACTCCATTAAGAACTACACTATTAATCATATATTTCACTCTAGCACGAAATAAACATGACTGAAGCTTCAAGTGCAAAGTGATTTTGTGCAATGTCATGTTAAATTAAGATTACTTTTCTTCCTCTGAAAACTGTCAGATTTTTGTATAATCCCTATAACCTCCTCCTAAATAAATTTTAAACCTTTCTCTTAACAAAAAAATTATATTTTATCTTTTATTTTTCTTCCTATAACTCAATACAAGGTTGGTCAATTTGAATAACCTTGTAGCCACCATAAAAAATATGAAATAAATCTATATTGCCCTTTTTTTCTTTCTAGAGTGACATCAATTGTAACATGAAACTACATTTGTTTATCCCAAGTACCTTAAAACTTGTAACAGTATACATCTGTTTCTACTTAAATTTTATTGTCTTATTGCCCTTTGAATGGTGTTTAACCAATAATCCTGCCACACAAGTTGTAGATCACTTGGCAAATGTGTAGCTCACATTATCCTATTGAATTCCGTAGTGCTTGGGCTCCTCGTGAGTAGTTTTTTTTATTATCATTCTTTATTTTACCATGTCTAATCTAAAAAGTTTATATTTTTTACATTTTAGTTACTTTTATAATAATAAATAAAGAATACACACGAAAAATACGAAGTATTATTATTTACCTATGTCCGCTTTTTTTTTGCTATCAAGTGTCAATGAAACATAACCCTACTTTTTTTTTTTATACTAATGGTACTACTGCAATGAAAATTTAAATAAATTATGCATCTATGAACACAGAATAATAAAATGTAAAAAGCAGACAATGTCCCATAACTATAATTTTTCTGGTTTTCTAACTGTGCAAAACCCATTGAAAATTCAGCTAAGCTTGTCAATGTGTTTTCCATGGGAATAAAGTGGAAGCAAAATAGCCAATTCTCTGTACAGGAAACAATGTAATGAAATATAACATTTGATAAATTAAAAGTCTGACTTTCTATTAGTTATAAATAATATAGTAGTAAACATTAAAGAGAACTACTAGTAATTTGTGAAAGAGTATGTGACGAGTGGGCATGTCAAGAGCGGTTTGATTTTCTATAAATAATATCAAAGTCTATAAAAAAATATGCCTTGCCTGAGTAATAAGAATATTATAATGAGTAACTTACATTAACCCTTTCGAGGTGAAAGGCCATGTAATCTTGTTTGTTGACTTGCATTCAAAATTTTATTGAACTACTATTTCATGCATTTATGTCAAAAAGTTTGGTATCAAACTGTAGATTATAATTCAAATTCTAGAACTATACATTACTTAATTTGTTACTTTAAAAGAAATATTTAAAAACCACAGATAAACATAAATTTTTGTGTGTCACACGGTATGTTGAATGCAGCACTGGTTCAAATTAGACGTTTGTGAAGTCAAAATACTAAGTCTATAGTTTCATACGAATTTGAAACTCAAATTACAGAAATAGAAAAGACCTTCTTATTTTATATTCTAGCTTGTCAATATCCAATTTGCTAAGATATTGCTCACATAATAAATCAAACACAGTAGCACCCTGCTCACCTTTCTATTTTTGGAAATGCTCCCTTATATACACACTTCTTTATATGACATGAATAACCAATTGGAAGCTCAAAATGTCCCTAGTGTTTTTCTCAGCCTTTCTAATGTTCTTTCCACCATTTCTTTCTTTTGAATCAAGATTTCAATGAGGTTGGTCATGCCTTTAGTCTGCTCGATATTTCATATTTTTTTTAGACCCAAATACAGGTTAGTTACTAAGATTAACAAATTATAGTACAATTATAAGGTACTGATGTAGTGATTTATGATTTTTTAGTTATTCAAAAGTATATATAAAACCTAAAAATAATATTTTGTTCATATCCTCCACATGCAAATTTTGTAAAGGCTTAGCAACCTA